ATTTGGTTTTACTCTTTCAAAATTAAATGGATTTTCATCAAGTAAAGGCCGAAACAATAAATAAATTAAATATATTGTTTCCTTCTAGCATTTTTTAACATTTCTATTTCTTTTCGTTTCTTTTCTTAGATTTTTTTCGGAAGAGAATGATTTAAATTTTTAAAGTGACCCCAGAGAGGTACGGGTTTAGCCTTTACCTGTACTTACATAAATTTTCTTTTGGTAAAAATAAAAAATAATCCGTAAAATTGGTGTACTATGAACCACTTGCCTATAATATATATGCCAATCTTAGTATTACAGAAATGATTTACGTAAAAAATAAGGTTTTCAAATAGGTAAAATTTATTTATCCCTCGTAAAACATCAGTAAAATATATTATAAATTGTTTTCATTGACAAATATTAATTTCTTAAAAATCTAACAGAGGCGCCACTTTCCAGACGAAAAATCTTGCAATGTAAGGGTTTCGAAGTACCCCACTTATAAAGTTTATTTTTGACTATTTTTAAAAGAAGAAAATATGTACGTGTAGTTAAGAGCAAACATGACGGGCGCTCCTCCGCCAAAAATCAATTTTACATTTGAGGCAGTTAAAAAAAATTGTAAAAAAAAATGGTTCAGGCCAATCGTTGTAAAAATTAACCAAGAATTTCGCTAAACGGGAAAAACATATATTTTTAAAGAAAAACAACAAAAATTTCAACTTTTTAACAAATTTAATTTTTTGGCTCTTTACCGGCATTCTATAACAAATATCTTAACTATTTTCTAAATAACTTTTTTTCAAAAAGATTACTAATTTTAAACAGGACCGAAGATTAACATAGTTTTCATTCCGATACTAATTCTATTAAAACAATGATACCAGTGAATATGGCAACGCTGCTAGTCTTTGAAGACCCTGGTTAAGAGGGTAGCTGCTGTTTAGTTAAATTTGTTAATTCCTGTGTGGAAAAATAGGTAGTTGTTTTTGAACAGGTGCGAAATTATTGTGATCGTCTTAGTTTGTTGTTGAGGCGTTGTTAGGTTTTTGTTTAATTTAGTTTTTAGTTAATTTATGAAATGAAAAATTCTGGAAGGCAAAAATGCACAGCTGACAAATTTCTATTTTATTTGTTTGCTGCCAGAGTTAGTAAATCCTAGAAAAATACGACATGTGCCAATTAGGGAAAAGAGATTGTCAAGAATTTTGCACGCTTACAAAAATGTGTAATATACAGGGTGTTTCTAAATACATGCGACAAAATTCAGGAACTGATTGCTCGTATGAAATTAAGATGGGTCTTTTCTATAACAAAATTTCCTCAGCCCAGCCCTTTTCGAGATATCACCCTTAAAAAGTGGTGACTAAAATTGAGTTTTTATTTTTTTTCTAAAATTTCAGTAAAGCTAGAAACTTGAAATTCTGTAATCGCAAAGGACTAACCACGGGTATTTTTTCAATATTTATGTTACATTATAGGGGGGTAAAATTAGCAACACTTACTTTATTTCATATCAAAACTTTTTTTCGAGATGAACTTTTATGAAATCCTTGATTTATTTAATTTTTTTTTATTTTTGAATTTTTTTCCCAAAACCAATAGCTTCAGAGAAAAAAAATTAACAACCTAATTTATTATTTTTTGTTTTTTATAAATTGAGTGGAAAACAGTGTAACGGGCTTGTAACTATCGTATCGTACACTCTGTCATTATTCGTTTCTTGCAATTATTTACACCAGTTTACACCAGAAGATAGCACTTAACGAAGCGTTTTAGCCACTAATTTTGGCGAATTTTAAGAAATCATTAACAAGACATTTGGGGCTTAAATTTGGGGATTATATTAAGAATAGTGCTGTCGAGGAATGCATTTATTTTCATTATGATATTTCAAAATTAGAGCCCTCTTAGTTTTTTTGGGAAACTGAAAGGAACTAAAACATTAAAATACATGCATTTTATAGATATTATTGCCTAATTTATTTTGCCAAAATTTAAATATTTTGAGATATTCTTGTCCGAAAATTATAAGGGGTATGAACACCTTAAGATTGAAAGAAAATTAACTTTAATTTATGAGATGCAAAGCATCATAATTGTCGCGTCACAAAAACCACCTGCTGCCAAGAGAAAATTTTGATTCAACAGTATTGTATATTTTGTGTTGTAAAAGAGAAAAAATTAACATTTCGTGTTTTAATAGTTATTTTTTTAATTTAATAATCTATGTGAAAAAAAATTTTTTAATACAGACTTTAAAAAATTGTTATATTAATATACTTATTTAATTGTACATATATTTGTTGTTCCTTTAATACAATAAATACAATTTACCTATCTCCAATTCATCACTTTCCGTATCCATATACCTAGGTTCCGATTACAATTAGAAAAACACCGCTACGTCATAACTATTATTTCGAATTTCCAATATACAGGGTGTCCCGAAATTAGACGGTCATATTTTAACAGCGTAATCTACATCCTACAAGTATTAGAAATTAAAAATTAAAAAAAAAAACGAATTCAAAAACGTGCAGATGCCGTCACCACATCTTAACCAAATTTATATAGGATCACCCCTGAGGTACCCCCTTACTACCAAAAAAAGAATCATATAAATCGGACAAGGTGGTAAAGCATTATCGCTAAACATACACAAAAAATTAAGAGTTTGAGAATTTTCTCATGTGCCCAATTATTAGATTTTGACCAAATTTATATGGAACCACCCCTGAAGTACCCCCTTTCTAACAAAAAAGAATCATTGAAATCGGACACCGTGTTAAAGAATTATCGCTGAACATACATAAAAAAAATAAAAAAAAATATTGCGACGAATTGAGAACATCCCTCCTCCTTTTATGAAGTCGGTTAAAAATAGGAGTAAAAGTTTATATAAACATAGGTCCGAAAACGTTTCGTATTCTAGATACAGGGTGTTATAAGTGAAGTCCAGATGAAATATTTTTTAAAATTTAGTTACCGGTTTTTCAAAGTTAAAAAAAAAAATAAAATTTCTAATTCTACAGACCTACTAATTATTGTTTACACTTTCAAATAAGGTAACATGCTTTTCTCTTGAAAATGGCGCGTCCTAGCGAGATGCAATAAATGTAGCTTTATTATACAGAAAATATTGGTTTTCCAAATTTTATAGTCAAAAAATCTGATGTGTCCAACACATGACTTTCCTATCTAGTTATTATAGGCTTTTTCTGGTTATTTTGTACAACTTATTGCAGTACTTCTATAAATGTTTAGAGGATAAACTAAATATATACATTTTCCACATACATCTATATACCTCGAAACATTTTTCTATAGTTACTCATTGAAAACGAAAATACTAAAAAATTTAAATGTAGCAATTTTCCTACAATTTTTCCATTACGGTCCATTTTAGAAAAATCATGTATAAACAAAAATTATAGAGATCAATATCGCAAACAACTTTTAGTTTAGTTTAGAATTTTACACATTTTGTCAAATTTCTCGAATACGGACCATTTCAGGAAATTTTGACATAAAGCAAAAATTATAGATAATAATATTAGAAGTAACTTTTGTTTGAATAATTTTCTTCTCCAAACATAAATAACAGATATTCAATAAAATATAAAAACGGCCTCCCATAAAGTACCCCCCCCCCCCCAGATGTTCCGACTTTGTCCAAAATCTAATTATTTCACGTCAGGCCGAAATAAAACTTAAGTTTAAAATTTAGTGTTTTTCTGTGTATCGGTTCATGAGTTATAATGGATATAGACACACAGACACACACGGCAATTTTACCCTAAGCTCCCCCTAATTTACCCACCTAAGAAGATGATCAATAACTGGGGTTTAGTCCAATAAATGAAGCGTAAAAAGGTAAGTATTTGTAACCAATTTTACCTAATTATCTTTAAACGTTTAGAAAATATTTACAAGTGTGGTATCAGGACTTCACCTTTAACACCCTGTATCTCGGAAAAGAAAAGTTTTCGGACCTATGTTTATATGAACTTTTACTACTATTTTAGGATGTAGATTACGCTGTTAAAATATGACCGTCTAATTTCGGGACACCCTGTATATCATCTATAACTATCAATAAATAAAAAATATTTGAGTTGTTTGGTTAAAAAATAGTATTCCTACATTCGTATATTAACAAGCCACTAACCCCCAGTAGGCGGCGATAGCCAACGAATTATACCCATTATACCTGAATTGTAATCGGACCCTTCAGCGTACGACACACAACATTGCCAAATTTATGTAGCGAACAAGGTTCCAAATACTTTAAGGGGAGGTCGTGAGATTCGTGCGTTGTGACGTCAGAAGGGACTGGATTGCTCTTAAAGGTTAATTCTATGCTTCTCTGGAACCACTTTTTCAAAATTCAATTTAGTTTTTTTTCTAAAAAAAATTAAGAAAATGGGTAAAAAAAGTCGAGTTTTTTTTTTTTTTTTCATAAAAATTTTGAAAAAGTGTCAGTGAGCACAGATTTAACCTTTACCTATACGTACATATTTTTTCTTTTAGAAAAAGTCAACAATAAACTTTGAAAGTGGGGTACTACAAAACCCTTGCATGCTCCGCGCTACAGGCAAGTAAATACTGCGAAATAAATAACTAATCCTACTCCAATACGGCACGATCTAGCGAAATATTGAAGTGGGGTTTCTGCGCTTGTTGGGACGACGCAAGTCTGGCGCGTTAATTTATTCGCACCATTAACGTTATCTATTTACAGTAGCTTAGTTTTTTTTTAATCGAAAAGTGGTCAAATTAGCGAATGGACTTAGTATCGGCAGCCAAGGAAAATACACTGGTCAAACTAGAAATTTTAAAATGTTTTTAGCTTAGCTTGGAATTGCCAATACATAAGTATCTCTTTTTTACGAGAACTATTAGTTTTTAATAAGTAAACGTCAAATAATTTATATTTAAAAATATTTTAATTAGTAATTGTTTTTTATTTGAATTAAATTTCAAAATAGATCACAAGAGAAAACCACTCTTACTTCTGGATGATTCGACAATTCCAGTAATTTTTCCAATTCTTCCTCTTTATGGACATGACTTTTCCCCAAAAAGTAGTATTTAATTCTTCTCAAAAACAGTATTAACGCGATGAAGCAAAATTTCAACCGGTACCATCGTCCTTTTTGCGAATATACATTCATAATTTTTTTCTGTTTTTCTTTTTCACTTTGCTTTATTAACAACACTCCGATTATAAAAATTGCCAAAACGGTACCAAAGGTTATCAACATGTCGTACGATTCAAGAAAAACAACACGACACTACTTTTTGAACTCTCTCTAGAGACTGACAATAAAAGTGTATTAGGTACTCTTATCACAATTATACAATTACTTTTATCTTGAGTGCATATTTTTAGAAATAATTATATTTGGTTATTTATCTTTAGATTGTCAAAGTCAATGCCTGTGCTCTTTTTAAATCAACCATTGCACCGCTAAGCTAGAAACATTCCATAATATACGAGGAACGTTACAATAATTTTTTTACAGAAACGGTAAAAAAATGGCTTAGCAGAACGCTAAAATAGTAGTTTGTGCAACAAAAGTGAATATGATGGCCATATCGCACGAATACGAAATTTGGGCACGACGCCGTAGGCAGAGTGCTCAAGAGTGCGATATGGACAATCCACTCGAGTTGTACAGTATATTTTTTCTACGATCCACTAACGGAAATCTACAAATTAAAAAAATATTTTAGGTTATTAAAACAAAATAACTAATTTTTAAATAATTTATGAATTTTACTGATTTTTAAAATATAATAAATATAAAAAAAATTAGTCGCCAGCCGAGAATCGATCCTCGGCTTTTCGCATGGAAGTCACATACTCTATCCATGTCTATATACGGCCACTTTTACAATTTCGGTTTTAATAATAGTAATTAAAATAGGTTTATATAGTTTCATCAAAATTTAATTTTTGTTTCAAAATATGGTTCAAATAAAAATAGAATTTCTATTATTTACGATTATTTATCGATTCTACACAAAAATAACTTAGTTTAATGTATATTTAATCTTAATAATTAAAAAAGATACTGACAATTAGTTTGACAGGATTGTCACTTATTTAAAATTTTAAAAATAATAGTAGTTGGGTGTCCAAAATATGAACTGTGATTGGTGGATTTCATTTTTTTGCAGTGTTCTCACCACCTAGTATGTATATGAAATATATTCGTTCAGTTGAATGCAATGACATACTTTTTCGTTTTGTAGTCTGTGCGTAGATATCTAATAGGGGAAAGATGGGCAATATGGGGGTACCTAAACTTTTAAAGTGAATAAAAAACCAACAAGCAGTCTTGTAGAAACAACGTATATTTTTTTGTCAAGTATAAACTTTAAAAACACAAAAGGATAAACTGTTTTTCTTAAATTGTTAAACGCTTAGTTACAAAAACAAAAAAATGTCAAAACTGTAAATTAAACCATTTTGCCCGCCCGGGAGGGCAAAATGGGGGTGTCGATAATTTTAACTGAAAAATAACTATTTAACTGCAAAATTCACATATTAATGTGGCCTCGCTGTCTTCGTCGTCAACTCCGGCGCATAAATTGTGTGCCCACCGTAAACACATGGAACAAGCGATCCATCCTTCGAAAGATATGGAATAAAGGTCTCCACAATAAAGGCATTCTGCATCACTATCATGACTAACTTCGCTGTCACTTGAATCATCTTTTGCAATAAGTTTTTTGTTTCCTTTTTTAGCCTTCTTTGAGCCGCCTGGATCTTCTATTTTTCTTTTCACAGCTATCTGCCTTAATGTTTTCTTATTCTTGGCTTCAACCGACTCTTCAAGTTCATCCTTGTAAGGCGTGGAGGTCGAAATAACAGTTTTACCTTTTTTTCGTTTCACAGTCTGACGAGTCTGGGGAATCGGAATGATAGCTGTTGGACTGGAAAGTGGAAAGGAAGAATCATTCATTCTCGATGTGCTTGGTTGGGGTTCGATGGCGGAATTGGTCTCAATTTTCTCCGGTGTTTTTTCGCCTACAGGAATGGTAGCTTTTGAAGTTAAAAAGATGGGAGAAGTGTTATTGTCTGATCTGTGCTGTTCAATTGCAGTGCAAGAATTATTATTGGAGTTCCCTTTTCAGACATCACTAATATTATTTGATGGCTCAGCTTGACAGTCAACAGCGCTTTCATCTTCAACTTCGGTGGCAGCCGATGGTAAAAAATCGGCGTCAGGAAAAACACTTGCATTCACAAGCCATATCCCGGTTTTTCTGAAACCATTTATGGCCGTTGGCATGAGGATACTGTTTTTGTTGTGCGGCTCTCGTGGACTTTCGGTAGCTCCCGCCGGCTCTCGGCTCTGAGCAGGCGAATCGCTTTAAATTTTTAAATGTTTACGTTTGGCGTTGGCGCGCTAAACTCTAAACTAACCTCTCTTTTGAGATATTTTCTCGAATTTGGAAATTTGGAGAATTTCACCCTCAATTTTAGAAAAATTGTGTTTTCTAGTTTTTATTTTACAGGCTAAAGAAGTGTGTTTACTTTTGGCACGCGCAGGAGCAAGTTTTCACTATAATTTTCGCGATTACTTTTGCATTTCAGGTTTTGAGTGTATTTTTTCAGCTTTATATCATTTTGATTTAAAATGGATAATAACACGTAAGTTCAACCGTTCTTTGACTTAGGTTCCTGCAAAATTAACATTTTTAGTTGTAAGCAATTAACTTGCGAATATTGCAAGCAAGGATTTTCAAAGAAATTTAATCTTAATCGGCACTTGAAAAATATCCATAATAAGGAAAATGAAGTACTATTCTTTCAGTCAAGTGGTAAAAAAAGTCACATAATATGTATCGTTTGCTCAGTTACAAAGGTATTGTTATTTTTGTTATAAAAATACCTAGAATGTTTTGCTTTAAAATAATAACTTTTTAGGTTATTGGTGCTTATAGAATATACATGGAATATATTAAACATTTACAAGAAACTCATAAGATTAATGTAGAACAAAAGACCTATCATTTCAATAATAAGGAAGGTTTTGAAAATTGACGCTGTAGAGAAAACCGAGATGTAGATTATGTAATTCAGAACAACAGTATGAACAAAACTTCAACAAAAATATATTACAATTGTAATAGAAGTGATACCCAAGGTAAATCTAAAATAAGGCCCCATTTTTAAATTTATCTAAATTTGAAGTGACGAAAACAATCAAAATTTAAATATACTATATATAAGGTCTTTTCCTTTGCATCGAAAGTGTAGCACTGGGCTACACCAATTCTGAAAATATCGTTCCATGTATACAAATTGTATGGATGGAACGATATTTTCAGAAGTACTGTTTTTGTTTTGTATGATCTATTCAAAAATAATTAATTTCAGGTATTACTTTTGCGAAGATGCACGAATCCAGTCTTGGGCATATTGTTACAGGTATAATTTTCATTTATTTAATTTCTAAAAATAATAGTGTAATAAATTATTTAGAAAAGGAGTTGGAATAAACACGAATATGGCATTGGAAAGTTTAAACCGATATATTAAACGAGAAAAGCTGAGAAACAATGGATACATTCGACTGGAAAAATTATTGAATATATTGGAGGAAGTTGTAGATGACAAGATGTGGAAAAGAATTATAACTTTAAGACGACCGAACAGAAACACTTATCAGGGAAGAGTTGTTGTGTTAGCTCATAAAAAAGCAGAAACAATGAAGAACTGCATTCAAAGGATTTGGACATTTTATCATTAGGTCTTCTCAAAAAGATAAGTTTTATAATGTTTTATATAAGGAGCAGTGCATGTATACTAATTGCCGTGAAATGTTTTGTGAAGCATGTAAGGTGTGCTTTCATAAGTATAAGTGTGAATGTGTTGAATATTCTGTGAAAAGTCTACATGTAAGCATGTTCATGTGGTGGCTATGTATGAACAAGAGCGGCAACAATTTCTTACAGCATCAACAACCGAGGAAGTCCCTAGTATTGAAAATGAAATCCTACAAACAATAAATGATCAGAAAGAAATCAGCGACTTTTTAGGCGAAAAAAGCACTGCTGTCAACTGCAATAGAGAAATAAGTATCGAACAGAAGAAATCATTAGTTATGGAGCGAGCTTTAAATTATTTAAATCAAATGTCTGGTTTAGATAATAATTAATTTGCAGGTATATCTTTTGAAGTTGTTAATATACACAATAATTATAGCTTGAAATATTTACAGTATTTGAGAAAAACTTCCATGGATTTATGACTAAGAACAACAAAGATTTGAAGATCACAGACAGCAAGAGGAAATTTGAAAATCAGACATACTACCCACAGAAAAAAAGAAATAGTTAGATACATCGAGAAGACGCTTTACAACCATAAAATGCATATTAGGCTTAAGGCTGTAGTTTTTTTTGTTTTTATAAAATTTAATCAGAACTCTAATCTCTTTTTTTTAATATATTCATATTTGTAACTTTGTTTTTATTCATGTTTATTAATAAATTAGTATAAATGTATGTAAATATTGGAATGATTTTGGTAAATTAAGTACTTTCTTTTTGTGCTTTTACTTACAAGACAAAATAGGGATCTTGCATTTTGTTACTTCAATTTTGTATTAAAAAACTGTTACTTTCTAAAGTATGTTTATGTGTTATATAAATGGAATAGTGTATAGTTGGAGAAAAAGATATAGTGTGATTTAAACCTTTAAAGCCAGCCGGCAAACATACAAAAAAAAACTAAGGAGACTGATACATCACCTTTAAAAATAGTAGATAAATACGAGGCACGATTAATTTACTGCATAACACACTGAAATAAAATAATAAAATTTGTGTTGATCGCTCCCTGTATGCTTATTTGAATGGTCCACATGGACTGGACATCTACCTGTCAGCAAATGTTACCTCCCACGTTTAATACGGCGCATGTAATTGGTCGCTTCCAAATTATTATTGGTCAAATTCTTGAATACTGTATTCAGAAATGTGCAAGAAATTGAATTGTGACATGTGGCACGACCCAGTGTCGTAACATCGAAAGTTTTAGAATTTCGAAATAAATGCCGCGTTTGAATAATATCCACATCGGATGCATCTGAGATGTTGTGAATTTTTTGTCACGTTGTAAAGGATTAGATCTAAATGTAGATGTTAGTGATGGGACTATTCGAATACAAATTATAAAAGTATTCGATTCTAGCGTGCATTCGACCCGACTAAAATTACAAAGGAAGCGTAATTTACTAATTTTAATTTAACATAGTACTTTAGTAGTTCTGATTGCGGCATATTACGTAAATATTTTTAGAAGTATAGGAATTTTGGGATTTATTA